AACAACTTGGTTAAAAGACAATGTCTGTGCTGTGTGAGCTGTGGGAATAGCTGGCAGAATGCACGCAGTCATTACATGATCCTGCCAAAGAGAAAACACATCAGACATTCATCTGAGCGGGGGCAGCGCAGCACCAGGCACCTGAGCTCATGTGTTGGGAGACATCCCTGGGTTGCAGGAATCCAAAGGAACAGAAACCAGCACTGTAATTCGGAACAAGTCCGAGTGACGGGCCTGAATCACTTAGACTGTAACTGTCTGTAGAGAGAGACTAAAACGGTATCTCTTACTATGATGGTTTCCAGGGAGGAAGGCGGGGGGTGGGAAGGGGCTGGCCTGATGCACTAGGATTTGCAGGAAGCTGACACTTGGCCTTTGGGTTTGTATTTTGGGCTCTGCGGTCGGTCGACTCTGTGCTTCTTTTAGAAAGTGCCTTGATTTCCTGAAGAATAAAGGAGAGAAACCTCAGTCAGTGATTTGAGGCTTTCAAATGCAAGGGAGTCAGCAGCAGCCAGCCAGATCAGCATCCAGATTCGCTTTCTTTGGGGACTGTGTCCTGAGATTAGAGGCAGCACGTGGCTTCTCAGAAGGTTTAGTGAGGGTTGCAGGTGTTTCGCTTGAGACACTGGGGCGGGAAACAGGGAGCAGCACTGTGTTTGAAAGGCAGCCATTCGGAGCACTGAGAACCGTCACTTCCCTGCCATAAGGATGAAGTGCTCAAATCCCCATCCTTCCATCCCCATCCTTCATGTTTTCCTCCAGACTCAGAAACCTTTTAATTTCAGCAGAAATCTCAGCATATGTTATCTGGCTTCAAAACAGCAAACGGTGGCTCCAAATATATGCATGCATTTCAAACGCTTGCTCTCAAAACAGTGTATATATTTCTATTCACAGGGCACGCATTTTAGCAAGCGTGTGGGGCTTTTTTTCTTCTTCTCCCCATTGCTCTAAATCGTGCAAGCACGAAGCAAATGTAAAGAGAATTCAAGAGCATTTTGTAATTCTTGAAAGGTTAATTGCACTATTTATAGACCAAACTGTAAAGCAAAAACCCTCGGCGTGACCCTGCAGGGTCACCGCGGTAATAGCAACCTCCACGGAGCCCTGACCAGCCATGAATTACTGTCTGTGATACGGAGAATGCTGACAGTTCAATCACAGCACTGTTTCAATAGAGAACTCCATATATTTAAAGCGCTGATACTGTTTTCCCTCTAAATGACAGCCTTGACAGATGGGCCAAAAGCACCGCAGACGTTTGAACAAGGAAATGGAGAGGGAGCCTGCTGGAAGCTGGGCTCCATGCAGCCAGCCGAGAATGATGAATAGAGTGTGATTGTGTCTGACAGGTAGTAATATAACTATTCATTCACCACAGAACACCTGGAGCACACTATATTAAATGGTACAAGATGGAGAGATTCTGTGACAAGAATAGGAAGCGTGACTCCCAGGCTGAGCGGGGGCGCAGCCATCGGAAAGGTCAGGGGTCAAGCAATAGCAGCGGCCTCGGAGAAGGCTGTAATTAAATTATTTGCTTACTAAAGTGTTTCTAATGTTTTGCTAACATGTTGCCAGGATCATTACTTCAGCATGTCTGAGCACTTCAAATAAAAGCAGCCTCCCCTCTCTGCCTCTGACTCTCTCTCCTTCCCTGACAACTCCCCTATTTCTCTTCTCAGCTGAACTCTCCTCTCTCTGCCAGTGTCGCTACTGCTCCAGATAATAGGCAGAGAAAAGTCGAGACAAAGGTTGGGGGGCCAGACTTTGGGTCACCCTCTTGGTAGAAACATCCCTCCCACCCCAGCGGTCGGCGTGGGTCCGGGCATGGGGGCAAGTCACTGTCGGGCCACCCCTGGAGGCTGTTCCCCAGGTGTGAAGCCGGAGCTGCGGCTGACAGGGGAAAAGGCTGTGTCTGTGATGTTTGGCTTTTGCCTCGAAGGTCAGCAAAACCCCTGACACGCTGCTGACCATAACTGTTTTCAAAGCAAAGAGTGAGGGTGGGGCGGAGGGTTTCAAGAGAGTGGGACTGTTTTCAGCCCCCATGACCTCTTCTACCTTCCACGTGGCCCAACATTTCTACCCCCGCTTTAGAGGAGGATTTCTGATCACCACGTCTGACCATCGCATGGGAAAGCTTTGTTCCCAGGAAGTATGGTCTTGCAAAGCAAGACTGAGTGGATTCTCAGACTTGGCATTTCAACTTGTGTGTGAGTGTATTACACAGCCCTACATCCAGGAGGCATATGACATGTCAGAGTGCAGACAGGGCTCGAATTTATAATGGTGCGCACCCCTGTGTGTGTGAGTGTATTACACAGCCCTACATCCAGGAGGCATATGACATGTCAGAGTGCAGACAGGGCTCGAATTTATAATGGTGCGCACCCCTGTGTGTGTGAGTGTATTACACAGCCCTACATCCAGGAGGAATATGACATGTCAGAGTGCAGACAGGGCTCGAATTTATAATGGTGCGCACACCTGTGTGTGTGAGTGTATTACACAGCCCTACATCCAGGAGGAATATGACATGTCAGAGTGCAGACAGTGCTCGAATTTATAATGGTGCACACACCTGTGTGTGTGTGTGTGTGTGAGCATATACCCATCTATTCTGTGCCAGAGTCCCCCTAACGAACAGGGAGCCTGTGTTGGACCCGAGCTTATTTCTAAGGTCCTTGGGAAAGGAAACACTTGCTGGTGGCTTTTACAGGAGCAAATGTTCGTCAGCTGCTGCCTCAGATTCGTTTTGCTTGTCACTTTCTTTATTCCCAGGAGCCTGTGATGGCCGGGAAGGTTCGTGTGGCCATCGCTGTGCTATTGGGAGGGTCCCTGTGGGAGCCCGGACACTTTGTCTCTTCACATTCTTGTCTTTCCTTTTTGTCTTTGTGGCTGGCTTGGCTGGTGTGAAGAGGACTCCCAGAGAGCAGGGTCACCATCTCTGTAGGGCGTTCTGTGTACCCAACTACACCGTTTCACATTCTCCTTTCTTGTGAAAAACACATTTTAATAGGTGCAATCCTCTTTCCCAGCCGATGGCTGCGTGAAACCAGGGGTTTAATGCCTAGAGAAGGATTTTGCATGTGACCCCTCTGATTGCCTATGGAAAACAAAAATCCAGATAAAAATCACCCTTGTACCCTCAACTCTACCAAGCCCTTCTCCTTCCCCCTTCACACCCTCCTTTTTCGACAATGATTGCTCAGCTATTTGAAGGAGTGTGGGTTATTGATTTATAGACATCTATTTCTACAGCTTCAACTGTATCTACAAATCTCTACATGGTATCTAACTCATCTCATGAAAGCATATTTAATAGTTGTTAGCTCTCTTCTAGCCTCAAGAGAATGGGTTTTTGAGAATTAGGCAAACGTACAAGATCCTATTTGGCAAATCTCTTAAGAGATCCCAAATGAAACCTTATTCCAAACCCTCTCTCTCTCTCTCTCTTTTTTTTTTACCTCTCAATAAGTATCCCCCTCCCCATTAGACTTCATGGTGGGCATCTAGTGGATATAGGTTTTATAATCATAAAACCAAATGTTCCTCCAAATGCTGTTGCCTCCCCACCTTCTATTTAAGTGAGCTCTGCTTTATTGACTGAATTGAGCTTATTGTGTGGCCTTGTAGCTAACGTATTTCCTTTTTCCCTCTAGTGGAGATCCACACAATGCTTACTACTGCCAATAAGGGGAAAGGGACTGTTTTGCAAAATAAGCAAATTGGATTATCCAGTGTGTAAATAGGCACTCAGTCTTTTCCCCCATGTAAGTCAGGAAAAGCAATTTGCTTGTGGAGAAAAAACCCAGCACCACTGCTCACACCTCGCCCGTCATGGCTGGCATTGGGAGTTCATTACAGGCGAGGAAAGGATGTGTTAACACCCATAGGGCTGGAGACCATAATTAACTAATTTGCTTCCACTTTGCTGCAGTTGGAACATAGGTACCATGAAAAGATGTTATTTTAAACAATCCCAAATCTTGTGTTGTGTGCATATCAGGACAACAAAATAAATTGGGTTTCTAGATTCTTCAAGATCCATTAAAAAAAACCCAACTTGTCTTTTGGCCAATAATTTATAATTTGTGGTGAGTGAGAGTCAGACTGGTGCATCACAAAGATGAACAAAAGCTATTTCTTTGAAGAAACAGTGGGTCAAGGTTGCCATGGTGCAAACTAGGCGCTATTCGAAATGAGAAGCCACGTCACTTCATTTATGTGTTGAAGGAAATTGCTAATTTTTAAGAACTGTTTTCATCTTATTACAATAAACCAGGAATGTAGTCAAAATTGATATTAACAATTTAATAGTCGTAGACACCATGCTGATTTGGGCTTTTTTAATCATTGCTAAAGTTGGAATTACAGCATAGTAGCCCTAAAAGAAACGTCACAGTCATTTTGTCCTGTTTTTATTCTAAATGTGAAGTGGCAGAGTCTGGAGGGTACGAAGTTGCACCAGGCTGCCCCAGGCGAGCACCCAGGTGGCTACCTCTCCATTGAGGGCCACTCCCTGAGGCGAAAAGACAGGAGGCAAACATCCCCACCGGTTCGGAGAAATGTATGCAGAGCTGCCATAGATTAGTTTGGGTTATAGATTTGTCATGTGTAGTTGGGAGTTTGTTTAAAATGTATAATGAGCACACTTAGATTATGATTCACCCTTACTCTCACCATTTTCTCTTTTAACCATATCACAGGTAGCAATTCCTTTATTCTCTCTGTCCTTCTATTCCATAAATTTAATAGTCAGTGCCAGTAGCTAAGCACAGAAAAAGAAAAATGTGAAAAATTATTCTAGGAGGAAAGCTGGAGTCTCTAAATAGGTGGTCTTCAAAAAAAAAGAAGAAGAAGAAGAAAAGAAAGTGAGTCTGGGGAACAGATGAATAAAACAATCATCTTGTAATCATGTTGGATTCTTGTTTGCGGTACTTGGCTGACTTAGTGAGGTTTTCTAATCCTCTTTGCAGAAATTAACATAGGTTCTGCCCATGGCGGTGATATCTAGATTTCCAACATGCGAATTCAATTATGAACGCTTTTTGGCCACCTCTGTCATTGTGGTGATCCTCACGTTTGATGTCTCAGGCAGTATTTGTAACCAAAGGGCACCAGTGGTGCACACATTCCTGAGGAAGTGATGTTGGTAACTCCCCCCCCGTGTCGGGGCAGCAGACGGGAGCAAACCACAGTGTCCCCAGGGGGAATGAAGCCAGGACTCCAAACACGGAGCAGACAGTCAATAAAAAAGACAAAGTCACACCTTCCCATAGTTTGAATTTATAGGGGCAAATTAGAGTGATAAACTTAAACACACACACACGTACACACGCACACACGCGCCAAAAAAACCCCCACAGATTTAATGAGGCACTTTGCTTGATATTACGTTTTAAAGTGCAAATGGCAGGCTTGTAATGGGGGAGAGAAGGAGTAGGGGAAACTAGTCAAAGAACAGTGTGCATAAAGCCTGCCGGTAAATATAAGGCTTGAGGATGAAAATTGGCATTTGGAGAAGTGTTATTGATTGGAATTTTCTCTGCCAGTACCGTTTTGGGACACATCTATAGGATTTATTCCATACAATAGAGGCTTGCAGTCACCGTGTCAGGATGTGCCTTGCTTGGGCATCAGACTTCAATTAGGTAATGACCATGGCAAGGAATGAATAGCCAGAGAGCCATTCATCTTCCTCCGTACATGACACGGCGTAACGGGTGTTTCTGGCAATTGGTGCACATTGAATTAGGTCATTGCTGAGTCTGTCGGCCTTTGAGGGAGTCTGCATTTACATGTGCTGATTTCACCACCCGCTTTCCTTCTCCATTGCCCCCCCCTCCCCTCCTAAACAGCATCTATTGTTCCGGAGCACACAGTGTAGTGGGATCAGAATTTATGTCCACGGATTATAAGCAAGGGACACCACCATAGTCCATAATCAGCTCATTAGCATTCTGCTCATGGGAGCCAGTGCGAGTACAATTTTCAATGGCCTAATGTGACAGGTAATCATAAATTAGTATTTGCTTTAAAACAACAGCAGAGCACACAGCCTGCATGCTTAAGGAGAAGGACTCAGTAAGTAGTACAGCCCCGTAATGAAGTGGGAGCTCATTAAACAGATGCTATCTACTTCACCGAGCTGCACGAGCAGCAAACAAACCAAATGGAAATGTTTCCACAGAACACTGCAGTCAACCAGGACAAGTTCAGGTTCATTAGCTGTGGCATCGTCTACAGGAATTAGTCACAGTAATAATTAAATAGTTGTTTGCTAATTTATCATTTTACGTTTGTGACTACATTTGCATAATGTGTTGTACCCCCCAAACCCCCCACATCTTCTCTGGTTATATTAAAATGCCCTCATCAGTGGGTAAAAACTGAAAACTGCATGATTTAAAAGAAAAGATATCAGAAGTGGCCTCTATTGGGCAGTTGGTTGGTAATAACCTTGCTGTTTGCTTCAAAAATTGAAGCAGTGTTTCTCTTAGCATATTGGCATGGTGTCATTTTAACAGGCCTCCCCTGCACGTGGGAGGCTGTTCTGGGGGTGCACACCCAGACTTGTCTGTAAGCAACTGGTGAGTTGGGTGAAATAGGGACTTGTTAGATTGGAGAGTGCCCAGGATCGGACACATGCAGACGTGTGATGAGATAATGGACTCTCCCTGGCATTTCTAACAGATCAGCGTGCCAGACACAGATACCAACTTCTTCTCCCTGAATCAACACCACCCCCCTGGGAACAGTCTATGCGACCTGCTCCCTCCCTCCCCTGCCTTTTCTCCAGTCTCATATCCAGGTCCCTGGCTTCCACTGCTCCTGCTCTATCCCTACACTGGGCTGCCCACCCCCCACCATCATCCCTGGCCAGCTGGAAGTAGTCAGAATGAGTTGGCATCCTCTATCACCAAAAGGCCAGGATGTTAAGTCGGAGAGAGCCCAGGATTGGACACATGGCAGACGTGTGATGAGATAATGGACTCTCCCTGGCATTTCTAACAGATCAGCGTGCCAGACACAGATACCAACTTCTTCTCCCTGAATCAACACCACCCCCCTGGGAACAGGCTATGCGACCTGCTCCCTCCCTCCCCTGCCTTTTCTCCAGTCTCATATCCAGGTCCCTGGCTTCCACTGCTCCTGCTCTATCCCTACACTGGGACGACCCCCACACAGATACTGACTCCTTCCTGAGTACCTTGCTGACCCCCTGCAGCTAAAGCTTCCTCAACTGAATACCTCAGCTCATGTCCCCGCCCCTCACCCAATGGCAGTATTAAAAAGCGCCCCCCCCCCCTTGGCATGAATCCACGTGCCTTGTCTTTGGGGTACGTGGGTCTCCCAGGGATGCAATAAACCTTTTCCTTCTTTTTCTGATTCACTGGACTCTCTTTATTTCCTACGCCACCTCCTGAGCCACCTAACCTAACAGGACTCAGCCGCCAAGATTGCTAAATTAACTTGCCATTAGAAAGGGGTTGGCGTGCAACTCCTGTAACTTCAGTGTCCAAAAATGACAGCCTCACCAGAGTGAGTCTTATGCCATCCAGAGGTAAGGAAGGGCTTCTAGGTGGATCCCTGTGGTTGTGTTGGGACAGCCTATCCTTCTTTTTAATATATATTTTTTATTTATTTCAGAGAGGAAGGGAGAGGAAGAGAGAGAAAAACAGTAATGATGAAAGAGAATCATTCATTGATCGGCTGCCTCCTGCATGCCCCCTACTGGGGATCAAGCCTGCAACCTGGGATCAAACCCCCCACCTCCTGGTTCATAAGTCAATGCTTAACCACTGAGCCATGCGAGCTAGGCAAGACCTGTCCTTAAGAAACAAAGTCATATGGTCACTTAAAGACCATGGAAAGTGCTAAGTTTTGCTTGTTAGGGAAGGATTTAGATTTTTTTTAGGGAGAAATACTAAAAATCATGGTGATTAGCACTAAGATGCCCATTCAGGGCAGGAAGTGGGGAGATGGTTGGGGGTGGGATGGGGCAGGCAGAGCAGAATTACCACAGGAGGGAGAGACCGTTCCTTAGGAAGCCTGGCCAGGTTTGGGTGGGTGGATGATGTGGTGATAAATTATTCAGTGGAACAACAGGGAATCTGGACAAATTTTCAAGGTTTTAACTAATTATCCTTTATTGTTATTGCTATGAAGTCCCTTTATAATGTAAAATAAATGACAGAATGTTATCTTTATGTTCTTATTCTCTTCTTTCTCAAGAAACTTTGGTTTCAGTAGCAACCTAGAAAATGTGTTTTGGGAAGCAAGGGTGAGCTTGAAAAGCTAGTGCTCCCCGGGCTCCGAATGATAGAAACCAAGAATCAGGCAAACACCAAAGGCAAGTTGTACTTACTGGCTTATGTGTGGTCACAGTGGGAGGGCAGGCAGTGGATATATTTATTTCTCCCCTCTTCATCTTTGTTGTAACCAGTTGGCAACCTAAGGTTTTTAGTAGTGAAAACCAATTAGGTATTCTGGGATTTAAAAATCTCTCCGTGAGAGTATGTGGGTGAAAACGACTTCCTGGTGTGCTGCGAGAGAAGGTGAAGACATTTGGAAAACATTAGTGGCCGATTACAAATGAAGATGCGGAAACTGGGGAGAGATGAGAAGCACATTATGTTTATGCCAGAACCAACAGGCAAAGCAAACTGCCATGCAGTGTGTTGGCAAGAGCTTTCTGAGGAAATCAAAACATACGCCTCCTCGTAGAGTCTCAGAATATGCACACTGCCTCTGTTCTGTCCGTAGTTTAGGGTAGTAGAACATTTATTTTAAAGAATGCTTAAAAATTCACTAAAGTGGTCATTCAAATATTTTATCTGTTCAGTCGCACCTTTTATTTTCAGGAATTGTTGCTCCTTTGTCCAGGGAGGCTAAAAAGCAACGGCCCCTGTCCCAATCCCCGGGAGTTGGCCTGCTACCTGGGTCAGCCGCCAGGGTACTCTGATCTCCTGGTCACAGTGATTGGCACAGGTCTGGCCATATGAACCAACAGGCCAATTAGAACCTTCCCTGGGATTTTTGCTGGACTTTTAGAAAATACACTCCATTTCTTTGGAGAGTGCTAGCTGTAAAGTTTTAAGCTGCCCTGGGCTATCCTTGACCCCATGTAGAAAAAGCTTGTCTAAGAATAAAACCAAATGTGGAGAAAAACCAAAAAGAGACACACAGAAATAAGAGTGAGCCAATGTTTTCCCTTCTTGCTTAACCCATTTTGTGACTATTTCCTAGGACCTGTAACTAGAAGAGTCCTAATAACACACTTATTCACATTTTCATTTTATGATGGAAACTGAGGCACAGCCGGTAGAAATGCTAGTCTATTAATGTGTAGTCCAGTCCCTTATTCTCTTGTACCCAAGCTAACATACCATTTTAGATCAGTTATGTGATTTGAATGAGTCCTTGTAAGCAATTAGTAATTACCTATAATAGTAAATAATGTTAGTGTATGGTAATCAGTAAAATATCTATAATATTACTTAATAAACAAGACATAGTATTTGAAGAAATGCATTCTTAGATTAATTTTCAGAAAACCATGTCTTCCTAGTTCTTAGCTCAAACTCATCTTCAGTGCCTCCAAACTGGCTTCTGCCCCCGTCGTGCTGTATTTGTTTCTTTAATCTCAGTCTGATGAGCTGAGCTTAAAGCGGTCTTCCTCTGGAATGCTTCCTAAGTCCACAGCCTTGGAGGAGCTCACCCACCTACCGTCTGGTTCCTCACTTCCTTCCGACCTCTTATCCCACGTGTTGCTTTCCATTCCTCCCACAGTGCTTATGTGACTAAGGCTAGTGTCCTCTAAGGTTAAACTCTTTGAGGACAGTAACTGTATTTGCTTTTCCCTACCACCGTGTCTCTACAATGGTACCTAAAAGCTCAGGAGATACCGAAAATGAAATTATTAAGTGATTAACTGTGGCATAACAAGAACTATATTTGGTCTTTATCCCCGGTTCCTGGTATATAAATCCTAAACACTTAGAATCTTCCGAGTTATGGAAGTGTCTTTTGTTATTTATAAGGCGCCTCTTTTGATCATACCCGAGCTTATGTTAATAAGGTGATTTAGGGTAGGGTCCCTAAATAGTTTCAGGATTGAACTGGTTACCAGAATGTCCAAGTGAATGGAGGGTTGGCATTTTCTGTTCCATCCACCCATCCCCAGGAGGAAAGGGGGCACCTGGAGATTAAAATCTATACAAATTCTTGAACAATAAGGTTGTAGGAGGTTCTGAAGTGACAAACATATCCGTGCGCTGAGGGGTGGTACACATCAACTTCACAGAGACAGAAGCTGTTGTGCTTGGGCCCTTGCCCGGCCTGACTCTATGCACCTCTTCATCTGGCTGTTCATGTGTATCCTTTATAGTAAACCAGTAAGCATCACTAAAATGTCTTCTTCAGTTCTCAGAGTTGTTTGGGTAAATTATTGAACCTGAGGAGGAGGTGCTGGGGACTCCCAATTTATGGCCAGTTAGTCAGAAGGTGGCCTTATGATGGCATCTGAAATGGGAGCACACTTGGGGATGGGGGTTGTGGGGAGCTGAGTTCCTAAACTGTGGGGTCTACCTAACTACCAGGTGGTGTCAGAAATGAATTCAATTGTTGGGTACCCCGTTGGTGTCAGAGAATTTGAGAATTGGCTGGCATCAAAGAATACAACCCCAATAGCCTGGTCACATAAATTTTTTCTAGATAAAATTCAAGAAGCTGCAATTGATGGTTATTATTATTATTTTTTTAAAAAAACAAGTTTCACATTTCTCAACGTATTCAGATTTGGTAAATAACTGCATTGCGATAATGGTTTTATGAATGCCAAAGTTTGACTACTGTGCAACTAAAGAGATACTAATGGGTAATGTCAGTGATAGTTCAGTAATAATAGTTGTGGTGAGATGATCAAGCATCAGCTCAGAAGCAATGCATCTTGAAGAAGGCTACTAACTTGCCCTGGGGCTGGGTGAATATTCGAGGAAGTAGAATTGGCATTAATCTGAGTGTTATATCTGTGAATTTTTTAAAAAGCCTATTCAAATAACTCATCTCTCTTCTCTAAGGAAATATATATAAAAAATTACTTGAATTAGAGCTAAAGAATAAGTTACTTTGAAAGTTCAGTGGAAAGAATGGGTAATGAGTTTGGAAGGTCTGACACGTTCTCAGCTTCAGCTTAATTTGAGCAATGCTCTCATTTTCAGTTTCCCATTTATATCGTTTGGATCAATATTGCCTTCCTACAACTTCATGGATATTAGGAAAATAAATAAGTTGGCCTTTAGCAAAAGTTTCAACTTCAAACTAAAGATAATCAGTGACTGCACAGTGTTTTATTTTTGTGTCTCTGTCTCTACCCTGAAAGGAGAACTGTGCCCTAGAGAACAGAAGTAATAGTTCTTTCTAGATTCTAAAACTAACTGGGGACTTAAAATTCCCCCTCTACCTTAGTTGGAAATGTTGCTTCTGAGGACACTCCAATGAGTGTCATTCTGAATCAAGATCGGTTAGGTCC